AAAAAAAAAAAAAAAAAAAAAATACTATAGATTGATGAAGACTTTAGGTTATTTTCTAGCTTATCTTTGAAATCAATTTTAAATTTGGGAAGGATAGGACCATTTAGAAGAGGAAAAATCAATCTAATTTTCATTTTCAGGGAAAAAACTAATTATAATCTCTTGTTGCTTCCTTTTCTCACTTCTTTGTCTCTTTTATTTGATATACTTATTATCACATATGTGGCAGGGAAGATGCTACAGGGAACAGAGATAAATGGAAAGTGATCCCTTTTAAAACCCCAAGGAGTTCATAAGGGATCAGACACATTTGTACAGAAATAATTGTAACTCAGTGTGGACTATATAGTAGTAAAATATGAACACATTACTTTTATATATATGAGAGGCTGGAACCCCCTTTAGAAGACATTCTGATTTTCATAGATTTTTTTTCTCTAGTCATTTTCTGATATCATTGAAGCAATTATCTGTGGTCAAATGACAGTATTTTCTTTTAGTGCTGTTGAATTCTATAGGTGAGTGTGGTTAGGGAAAAGTGGATGGATTGCTGTAGGATTTGAGACATCTCAACTGGAAAAGACCGTATACTGAAGCCTGAGGCTCAAAGTTCAGAACTCCAATTTCTGTCTTTGATGTGGTGAAGCCATATAATAAAACGTACAAGGGACATGGTATGGTTCTTACTCAATGAAGCCTTGAGAAACAAGTTCATGGGTCTCTGGTTACATGTTAAACCTTTAGGACCAAGAATCATTTCAGATCTCTAGGGTTCTATTGGCTATACATTTACCACCAAAGTAGGCCAGATGGCATTGGAAGAACTCCAGATATCTAATTCACTATGCCCTGCCTCTGAAGGTTGGCTCAGTAATTCATGGCCAGACTAAAAGTATGCTTACCTTGACTTCTTTCATAGCTTTCTGCAGACCTGAATTAAGTGCTCCACCCACACAGTAGTCAGACTTGCAACCTACCCTTAACTGACCAAGGAGGCCTTGAGAGGCTAAATTTGCTCTAGGCTCACTGTGTTCTGGGAGCATCCAGCAATGGTAGAAGTGGTTGGTCTAAAGCCTTGCTTCTCAAACTGTGCATGCATAAGTACCTCTGGAAAGACGGATTAAAACATTGGTTCTCCAGCCTACCTCCAGAGATCCTGAGATCCTGACTATAGGTCTGAGGTGAGACCTGTTAGGAATTTGCATTTGTAAGAAACTCCCAGTTGATGCTGATGCTGCTATTACATGGACCATGCTTTGAAATATGCTGATCTAAAGCAGGGGTCAGCAAACTATGGTCTAAGGGCCAAATTGCCTGCTTGTTTTCATAAATAAAAATTGGGGGGACACAGCCAGGGTCATTTCTTTCCATATTGTTTATGGTGACTTTCATGCTGAGAGCTGAATTCAAGTTGCAATGGAAACCATGTGGCTAGCAGAGCCTAAGATACTTGCTATCTGGCA